CCCACTTCATCATAAACTCTAACTCGTTATGCAGTTCATCAGTTTCGGTATTACCATAGTATAGATTGGTCCCCATGAAATAAGCATTACTAAAAACCTGTAATAATTATATATCATGATACGTCATGCATAATCCATAAAGAATCATACTATACAAATACAATGGTTGATATAATTATAACATAATACCACATGACAACCTATCATTGAACAGTTTAAAATATAGTCAACTTTTTCATCAAATCACATCATGCCAACACATATACTGTCATTTTCTCCGTCAGACATTTATGACACAAGCATTTTTCATCCATTAACCAATTGAGGGACAATGCAAGTATTTCTTCATAAGACAAAAACATCACCAACATTCTTCTTGTTTTCATTCACGAGATACCGCGTGATCATGTCATCTCTCAACTAAACATTATTTATCTAATTGTTTACTAATTTGGTATATATAATAACTATTATTTAATGTCTTAATCGATGTTAAACTTCCTTATTCTATTGTAAACTATGCCGAAAGATAGACGACATTAAAAATAACTATTTATCATGAAAATAATTTAATTCATATTGTATTTTTGTTATGGATGCATGAAATATATCCTAGGATATCCACAAGTTTAACAACGTATGAGTTATGACCATGCTGTCTTTTTTTAACTATAAACTTATAAGCTCCATTTGGTTTGATTAAAAATCAAATTTTTAGTAGTTTTGATAAAAATTGATGAAATATGTGGATAAAAAGTTAACGAAAGTTGTGAATTGTGTAAAAAAAAAATTTAGATAAAAATTTTTAGTAGTTTTGATAAAAATTGATGAAATATGTGGATAAAAAGTTAACGAAAGAGAATTTTTTTTTTTAATTGGGGCCAAAAGAGAGAGAAACGTGTTTAGTTAGGGATCAACTACACGTCTAGAAGAAAACACAGAGAATTTCCAAAACTTTAAGTCAAACCATGAAAATCAAATATTTCTTAAGTCATGAAGGGGACCCCATATGTCAATTTATGCCCTTGCGAGAAGGTAATTAGGAGTAAAAGTCATGGCCGTGTTGCAGAGCATAATTAAACAAATCAAATTCACACAACCCTTTTTGCTAATTTCCTTTTGAAATTCGATGACACTTTAACACAAATTCAAAGCCTTGCATTAATTTCGACATTTTTACATTTTTCACGCTTCAAATTGACAATCCTTTTTATTTTCTCATGCCTACTTCACCGAACCTGTCATGATTGAGTTACCTTGCTAGCAAAGAAATTCTCTAGAGGATAAATAGGAGAACCGAATCAATTTTAGACAGTCCTTTTGCGGACCGAGCACCCACTAGTGAATTTTGTGAGCAATGTGAAGAAAATAAATGGAAGTTGAGACGATGAAAGTACATGTAGCCATTGGAAGAGACCTTTATGATGGACTATCAACTATACAATGGGCCTTAAACAAATGGTCTAATAATTCAATCAGCATAGTGGTTCTCCAAGCAGCAAATAACATACGCAAAGATTATGTATACACACCTCGTAAGTCATTTAACTTTCTTGGCAAAATTAATATGCTTTTATATTCATGCAATTATGCATCTTTCTTGGTTTTGTAAATGCAGTTGGGAAACTTCCTGCAAGTTCTGTGAGTGATGAGAAGCTGAAAGATCTTGACAAGAGCGAGGAAGTAAATAATGACAAAATATTATCCCAGATTATAGCCTCCTGTGGAAGGGTTGGATTAAATTCATAATGATTATGTTTTTTTCACATGTTCTTGGAATAGATTATTTGAAGTAATTGATTTTTCGGGTTTTTACTTTGTTCACAGATTAAAGCTGAGGTTTTCAAGATGGAGAAAAGTGAAGAGCCTATTCACAAGCAATTGCTAGAAATAATTTCGAGCCAACGGATAACCAAATTAGTCCTGTCATTAACAATTATGAAGTCCTCAGCATGGTATGGTAGGCAGTAGGCACATAACATTGTTAGTTTTCAGCGGAATTTTTGGCGATTTTGTCATACTATGATTGTGTCTGATTATAGGAAATCAAGAACTGCTGTTAGTGGATCGTTTTATGTTCTTCGTCAGAAACCCCATTTTTGTGAGCTTTTTGTTATATGTGGAGGGAGATTGCTTTCGTTGAGAAAAGAAAATAAGGACGGACTTATAGAGGACGATAGAGGAAACGCAGTTGCCAAGTTTACGGAGAAGAATGGCTTTAGAAGTTTGCTAGGTAGAAGACATTCTCCGGATTCACCTTCTTCTTCGTCTTCAGGAAGCAATAATTCACCTGCCGAGTGGGAAAAGTACAGTGAAGAGATCGAACAATATGTTAATCAACTGTTGGCTTTAAATGAAGAGGAAGAAGAAGAAGATGCAAATTGTAATGAAAGTTCTGCAGATTCATTTATGCAGGAAAATATGGTAACCTTTTAACTTCTTTATGCAAATCCATCTGTTTTGTTATTCAGCTTCACTGCGATTTGAAGACTGATTCTTTTGCCAGAGTAAAGCAGAAAGAATTGAAGCTCTTAAACTCAAAGTGCAAAGAGCTGAAGATGCAATGCACTTGAACAGAAAAGAAGCAAACGCGAATAAGGGAAGGCGTGCAAAAGCCGAACGGGCTATTAGTCTATGTGGTACCTGGGTAAATTATCGTTCCCGACTCCTAACTGTAGAATTATTTGTGATTCCTGTCATTCAGTAGTTTCTTTTCAATAGGCTATGGAACTTGAAGGTTGCGTAAGTGAAGAGGTCCTGAAAAATTCTGGTATAAAGAAAGAACTAGACTCCAGAAAAGATGAGCTCTTTGAACTTCAGGGTGAGGTTGAGGAAAAAAGAAGTAAGCTGAACTCAATTCTAGAACTCCAACGAGAACTCAATAACAAACTCCAATTATCCTCTTCTGCTAAATCACGTGCTGAGGTTCAACTGGAGAAAGCAGGGCGAACAAGAAATGATATGGTTCGAGAAATTGAGGAGTTGAGAGGGCAAAGAGATGTTATCCAACGTAGAATCGAGTTCTGTAGAGAAAAAGATGCAATGGGTAGTGCTGACACATTGAACACCTTAAGTTTTGATTACAGAGAATTCACTGCTGCCGAAATTAGAGCAGCCACTGAAGATTTCTCAGAGGGTTTAAGGTTGAAGTCACGTGGTCGATTGACAAGCGTTTATAAAGGTTGTATAAATCATATGACAGTTGCAATTAAAATGTACGATTCAGCAAATGTTCCGTCCCCTGAAGCCTTCACAGCTAAGGTATTGCTCAAGGACTAGTGGCATTATTATTTGTGCTGTTTCATTCAATTTATCTCCTTCGAATTAAGCTTATCTTAGCATATTAAAGGATAATTGAATGATCTGATTTCCCGCTTGTGAAAACTGGAATTCTCTAGTACCAGTTTGTTGAGAGAAAATGTAGGTCCCAAAAGAAACTTAAAACCATCGATTTGTAAACAAGAACAAAAAAAATCAACCCAAGAACACAAGAATTTTTGGCCCAAAAGCCCCGAGGTTCGACGATTGAATTTAACGCCTAATCCCCGTTGAGCA